GACAAAACTAGATCCTACGGCACACGAGTAAGCTCAAAATCCGACCATCACAAATCGCATTGAATGGGAAAAAGTCCAAATCTCCACACCCAAAGACGCCCCTCGCCCGAGTGTTGGGACCAGACAGATAACGATATGCCTGACGAAGAATGTTAAATTCTGTCGGGCTAACGGCTCGTCAAAGATATTTAACATGCAAAGAAAAAGAATGTACCTATTCGTGTGGTCACAAAAGTCCAGAACCCCCGGGCTGCTCCCCGCTGACCTCCGGAGGGCGCAGCCTTTGTCGAGCAGGAGGCCTTATACGGTTGTGAGGTTAAGCAGGCATGTGCAGGACATGACGATTCCTTGGGTGAGCCCAGAACCAGAGCACCATGTGCCGGCTCTGCATACATGGAAGCTTCCTTGGATGGCGGGGAATGCCCATGATCTGCCCCTGCCTTCCATTGAGGGCTAACCGTTCCACAAGGGGCTGCCCCAAAGGGGCAACACCTGCGGAAAAGGCGACAAAGAGGACACCACACAAATCAGGCAACGTCTCGACGCACAGAAAAATGGCCACAGTCATCCTAGAAATAGGAATGACGTCTTCCCTCGAAGTCGGAGTACATCTGCCCGCGAGGCAGGGAACAGCAAAACGGTTGTACACGCAAAACTCAGGTCCAGGCAAATACCAAAAGTCCAAGCGGACGACTAACCGGGACCTTCCGCCAGAATTCACAGCCGGTGAACGAAGAATAAAAAGAAGAAGAAGAAGAAGATGGCTAGAGTAAAAAAGGGTTATCATGCAGTACTATGAAAGGTGTCTGTTACAATCCCGTCTAGGGAGATCTTTTTCTTCTTAGTGTTCTTACTTACTTTACTTTTTCCTTCCACGTATGCCGCTAAGCGTTGTGGGGAGATGCATAAGCAAGGCGGGCAGCATCTGATGTTCTGAGGCCATGCTTTTGGCAGGTTTCGGAGACCCCGTCAATCCACAGTTTCCTTGGTCTTCCTCTTGCCTTATATCCTGAGCTTCTTTGGTTGAAAATTTGTGATGTTATTTGATCATTTTTCATCCTGGTTAGATGTCCAAACCATTTCATTCTTTGATGTTCTATGTAGTCTAAACATGGTGTAGTTTTGACAGTGTTTCTAATGTCTATATTCTTTATCCTGTCTAGTCTGGTCTTATTCGCTGCTTTTCTTAGACATTTCATTTCACAGACTTCTATTTTTCTTTCATGGGTCTTGTTGATTGTCCATGTCTGGCACTGGTAGCAGAGTGTTGGAATGAAGATGGTGTTTATCAATTGTCTTTTGGTCTTCATGGTTATATCTGGATGTTTAAGCAGAGGTGATAGTTGGTATGTGACAGCATTTGCTTTCTGTATTCTTGTTTCTATCTCTCTGTCCATTCTTCCATCCTCTGTAAATATACTGCCCAAGTATTTGAACTCTTTGGTTTGCTTGATTTTGGCACTTCCAACATTTATATTCAGTGGCCTGTGTGTTCTGCTGATCTTCATAACTTCTGTTTTTTCTGTACTGATTCTCATATTATGTTGTAAACAGCTGTTGTTGAGAGTAGTCAGATGTTCCTGTAGATCATATTCATTTTGATACAGTATGCTTTGATCATCAGCAAAAAGTAATTCGTTTATAGCATACACGTCTGGGTTTGCTTCTACAGTGATCTTATCCATGTATGTTTATGAAAAGTAATGGTGACAGTACACATCCTTGCCTGACACCAGTTGTGACTTTGAACCATTCAGAAAGACCACTAGATGTTCTTACTGCACTTTCACTTTTTTCATAGAGGGCTCTGATGTTGTCTAATAATTGACCCTGCACTCCGTAATCGTCAAGAATTCTCCACAGCACATCTCTGTCTACACGGTCGAATGCCTTCTCTTGATCTACAAAGACCACGTTCAGCTCTTTATCGTATTCGAGTGTCTTTTCACAGACTTGTCTTAGTGCAAATATGGCATCAGTGCAACCTCGCCCTTTCCTGAAACCGAATTGTGCTTTACTCAGTAGAGGTTCAACCTTTGCTCTTATCCTACCTTCTAAGATCTTTGCATACATTTTCCCCACATGACTTAGTAAAGATATTCCTCTATAAGTTCCACATTCTCTCTTGTTTCCTTTTTTCTTCCAGATAGGTACTACAACTGATCTTTGCCAATCCACTGGTACCTTTCTCTCTGCCCATGCTCTATTGAAAATTCTCTCCAGCCAGGTGATCATAGTGTCCCCTCCAGCCTGGATGACTTCTGTTGTTATTCCGTCGATACCAGCTGCTTTGTGTCTTTTACTTGTTTTGATAACTTTCTCTACTTCATCCCGCAGGATATGTGGTTCTAGATGATCTGGAGCCCTTGAATGGAATTCTGCTGTTTCATGTACTCCCGACGGGTTCAAAAGTTCTTTAAAATATTCCTCCCATCTTTTTTTAATTTCTTTTTGGCTGAATAATGGTTTTCCCATTTTTATCGTTTATGACTGATGTTGGATTGAAGCTTTCTTCTCTTAATCGCATCGCTTTTACACTCTTATAAAAGTCTCTTGGTGATTCTGTACATAGCTGTGTTAGGTGTTCACCATACTTTTTCCATGATTCCTCTTTGGATTTCTTTATTGTTCTCTTGGTGTCTCTTCGAGTTAGTCTGTACCTAATGTAATCCTTTTCGTCTTTTGTTTTTAACCATATTTGAAACATCTTCTTTTTATTTGACACTGCTTCTTTGACTTCTTCATTCCACCAAGCGGTACCCTTTTTCTTGCCTTTGCCCGTCTTTCTGGTACCACACTTGTCTTTTAATATCTTCGTGATGGTTGATTTATAATAATCCCATTCTTCTTCAATTCTTACTGGTTCCTTGGCAATATCTGCAAAAGCCTTTGTTATTTCTAGTTCAAATTCATGTTTGATATTCTCTTCCTCTAATTTCTTAGTGTTGATGATTTTTTCACGTTTCTGTTTATGTAGACTGTTTCTACTTGAGTTGCATATGTTCATAACTACTGGGCGATGGTCTGAATCCAGTCCCGCATTTGGGACAGCTTTTGAGTCTCTTACCGTCCTCTTCTGCCGTTGTCTGACTAGTATAAAATCAATTTGTGACGCTTGATCTAAGTTGTTCCACTTGTACCACGTTTTAACCTGACTTTGGCGATGTTGGTAGAATGTGTTGGTAATGTAGAGATCTTGTTCAGCACACAAGTTTAACAGGTGTTCTCCATTTCTATTGCAATCTGTGGTTGTGTCGCTGAATGGGCCAAGGTATCTCTCCCATGGTGATCTTCTTTTACCTACCCTACCATTAAAATCTCCCATTACTATGATGTCCTCTTTCTCTTTAACATTATTGATGGTGTCCGTAAGTCTCTCGTAAAAGTCTTCTTTTTCTTCTTCAGAATAACTATCGTTGCAAGGTGCATATATCTGAATAATCGTTGTAGTTTTACTTCCTTCTGTCAACTTGATTAAAATAATTCTTTCTGATATAAATTCTGTTCCTGTTATTAATTTTGCTGTCTCGGGATGAAGTATAAATCCGACACCATGTTTTGCCCTATCTTTAGTGGGTACTCCGCTCCATAATAAAACATAATTTTCATGTATTTCTTTTGTATTATATCCTTTCTTTCTTGTATCCGCAAGACCCATGACGTGTATATTTTTTCTTTTCATGAAATCCACTATTTGTGGCTCTTTGTTGGCAATACCACATATGTTCCATGTGCCTATGTAAGTCGTTTTTCTGTCTCGTCGTCCTTTAACGTTTCCAGTCCATTTTCCGTTTGGGGCTGTCCGTTTATTTATCTCCTTTCTAATTTTCGTAGCAATAAAAAATCCACTGCCGGCTTGCTAGGCCAGTCGCAGTTTAAGGGAAAATCTGACCAGATGGACCCCATCCCATCTGGCGAGCCAGAGCCTCGTTCGCCTGTGGCCTCACGGCCACAGTTTTCTTAGTGTTCACCAGCTATAAACTCTACTGGAAAGATGTTTGTCCACTTCTGGGTTTTAGTGTTGTTCCAGAATTTGAGCCTTGCATACACACTCATTTTACAGATCTGGTTTATTTGTTTGCAGACTGTTGGTTCTTTGCCTCTCAGGCAGATGCGCTCTCATTTTAAAAGAAAAGCCCCTAATTAGTCGCCTTTTACAATGTACTTGTGGGGGGGGGGGGGTATAGTGTGTCTTTGATGAGGATTTAAACAATTAGCAGAAGTGTGATGATGGTAACTTTTATTGCCCATTCCCTCCCCTCTATACTATACAACCAGTAAACATTAATTATTTAAGTTCAGTTGAGTCAAGAATTGACATCACAGCACTTGGGGCGTTCCCATGTGTGCTCCATCCACATCTTCAGCAGCCAGTGCAGAGTTCCAATACTGACGGCACCGATCACAATCTGGTTATGTGTCCATCTTGCCTTTTCTCTTAGTTTAGTGAGCTGGCCAGACCCTCTGGTTATACCCAGGTGCCTCATTCTCTCCAGGCCATAATAATCTTGTTTCTTTACTGATTTCGTTGCTTGTTTAATTAATTCAGGGACCAATGAAGGCAGAGGTCGTCTCCTGGAAAAGGGTAAATAGCAGGGAACACAGCAAAGGCTGCTGCTGCTGCTTCCTGACAGGCTTGATAAACAACAGCACAGGCCGTGAGCAACACAGTGTGAGACTCACACCTGACCTAGTTCAACAATTCTCTTCATATCATGTCATCTACATATAAGTTGTATACACATCATATACAGTTACTGGTACTATTGGAATTGGAACTCTTTGCTTGCTGCTGAAGATGGGGAGTGTCCGGAGTGCTATGATGTCGATTCTTAATTTAACATTTTTCATATCCTGATGTTGGCAAGGTGGCTGAGAACAAGAGGAGGATAAGACCAAGGAGAATAAAGAGGATTTTTAAAACGTTCTGGCGAGGAATATAAAAAGAAAATGAGAAGGAAAAAAAAAGAACAACTATTAAGAAACACATAAGTACTTACAGGCTACAGGCTGTGGTACTGACAAGGAATCCCTTGGGTCCAAATTTGCAGTTAGGGCTTACACCATAGAAGCAGTGGTTGGTCCGCCTGACACGCAAGAACAAGGGCAAGAACCTGTTTAGTGTTGTGAAGTCTGACACTAATATCTCAACATAACACAAGAACAAGAACAGGAATCAGAGTTGTCAAGTCTGATACTAACATCAATACTAACATCTCAACACATACAAGAACATAAATAAATTCAGCAGTGTGATCTGATAATAACACCTCAATACATATAAGAACAAGAACGTGAAGTCTAATATGATATGCTATATTCTACACTATATTCCAGGACAGATGTGCCCAACAATTTTTTACTCACTGAGTTCCCCCCCCCCCCCCATCTTTTTTTTTACGCAGCCCCTTAGGTTACTGCCCCCCTCCCAGCCCCTTAGGCCACTGCCCCCCCCTCCCCACCCACCCTTTTTTTTAATGGAGTTCCTTAGGCTACTGCTCCTCCCCCTTTACTACTATGATATTCAGTCCAAGGAAGGATGTGTGACATAAATTGTAAGACAGGCCCAGTCATTCTGTCTGTTAAAATTTTGGAGCTAGTGACAGCGGATTTTACTTTCTGTTTCCTAATCTTTAATTACATTCAGTTCTTATTTATTTTCCCTGGGCGGTGGCGGAGTCTTTGTAAAGCACAAGCAGAACCTTTGGGGCTTCATGGGCTAGCAGCTGGAAACTGCTGTTCTAGGCTATGATACATGAGGTGAGAAACTGTTATACCGTTTCATACTCTAAGTTAGGACATGAGGGAGGGTGACCAGTTCTCTTCCTCACCGTCTTTCTTTCTCAGATTATTCCCAGAAAATGTTTCTTTTTTATTCTTTTTAACTGGCTATAAACTCCGGCAGAAAGTTGCTTGTTCATCCAGACTTCAGTCTTTTTCCAGAATTTGAGTTTTGTATGTGCATCAATTTTACAGATCTGGCTATGTGTATGCAGACTGCTTGTGAGGGAAGCAGCTGGTGCCCATTCTTTTTTTCTCCAAAAATAGGGCCCGGGAAAACACACACAGAATCGCCAGAAAATGAGTTCCATCTTCCACAGTGCACAATTCCCCTTCTCCTCCTCATTTGGCTTACAAATTTGCCAGGGAAGGAGTCTTGTGGTCTACATTTTTGTTATTTCTGACTGCTATGGCATAAATTATTAAACACTGAAGCTCATTATTTATTTTTTTAACATTAATCTAAAAATGTTTGGGTTTTGATCAATTCCCAACAATTGTAACAGTTGATAAGTCACAGCCCTGTTGGTATCCTAGCTGTATTTTCTCTTCTGCAAAGAAACAAATTCAGTGCTCTACTGGTTGAGACTGGGGCACCTGAGTGCCATGAAAGTGACAACCAGAAACAAGACAGGATACATATATAAACATGCAGAATAAAATAAGTAATCATCTACATAAAATATTCAAACATGGAACAAAACATTCAGACATGGAACAAAACATCAAGATCAGGAACAAAATTTCAAGCAAAGTACATGAAAGAAATCTTATTTGTGCAGTCTGTGCTCATCCAAGCGAAGTGCACTTTTGTTTCCACATGGCTGCATAAGCATCAACCATGAAATTATTCATACTGCCGGGTGGTGTGTTGCCCATTAGTGAGGAACATGAGTGACGATGAACTGACAACAAAAACAGGTCGTCACACCTGGATGACACAGCCAAGCAGAGGATCAACACTAGCTCTGGACAAGGACTGATCTCACAGTGGCAAGAGTTTACTCAAATAGATCAGCTAGCCCCAAACAAAACAATTATGCTCAGTAAAGGGAACGAGGACTTGAATGCTCAGTAGAGGAAACAATGTCTAAAATGCTCAATAGAGGGAACAATGTCCTGAATGCTCAGTAGAGGGAACAATGTCCTGAATGCTCAGTAGAGGGAACAATGCCTAAAATGCTCAGTATATGGAACAATGATCTGAATGCTCAGTAGAGGAAACAATGCCTAAAATGCTCAGTAGAGGGAACAATGACCTGAATGCTCAATAGAGGGAACAATGTCCTGAATGCTCAGTAGAGGGAACAATGCCTAAATTGCTCAGTAGAGGGAACAATGTCCTGAATGCTCAGTAGAGGAAACAATGTCCTGAATGCTCAGTAGAGGGAACAATGTCCTGAATGCTCAGTAGAGGGAACAATGTCCTGAATGCTCAGTAGAGGGAACAATGTCCTGAATGCTCAGTAGAGGGAACAATTTCCTGAATGCTCAGTAGAGGGAACAATGTCCTGAATGCTCAGTAGAGGAAACAATGTCCTGAATGCTCAGTAGAGGGAACAATGTCCTGAATGCTCAGTAGAGGGAGCAATGTCCTGAATGCTCAGTAGAGGAAACAATGTCCTGAATGCTCAATAGAGGGAACAATGTCCTGAATGCTCAATAGAGGGAACAATGTCCTGAATGCTCAGTAGAGGAAACAATGACCTGAATGCTCAATAGAGGGAACAATGCCTAAAATGCTCAGTAGAGGGAACAATGTCCTGAATGCTCAATAGAGGGAACAATGTCCTGAATGCTCAGTAGAGGAAACAATGACCTGAATGCTCAGTAGAGGGAACAATGCCTAAAATGCTCAGTATATGGAACAATGACTTGAATGCTCAATAGAGGGAACAATGTCCTGAATGCTCAGTTGAGGGAGTATTGTAGTGTACTGCTGCATTTATGAAGCTTTCTGCACTCTCGCATGGGACCTAGGCTCAGTGTGCGGGGTAGGGGGGGGGAGGGGTTGGGGTAAGGGTCAGTTGTACATGGTATAGGGTTGTTAAATGCGATCACATCCTGTAATATAGAGCACGCATGATCACCGGTAAGAACATCTGTGCAATAGAATGTTGCAGCAAGCTGACACCCCTGCCACTTAAACTTCCGTGAGAGTGTCATGGCCTGACTTTGTCACTCATAAGTGTGTAGCTGGGCCCGAGTTTGTTACTTGCTCCAAATGTTCAACAAAAGAGTTATTTATTGCCCACTGCAAATATTGGGACATGTCTTTCTGGAAAGTTCTGCCCAAGTTTTTACGCCAAAGCCTCTGAGAATGACGCACCAGAAAGAAAAAGAAAAACTGTAATAGCACAAACAACTGGAGAGATTCTTGGCCTGACAGCTTGTATTCAGCAAGTGACAGATAATGTGTGAGCATTCAGGTGAGGTATTCACACAGAGTTGGGATATTCTTTGTCATCAGACATGTAGGATTGAGGGCTGTCAGGTCACAGCCTTCATGTGTGACCGCCTTTCATGGGGCATTCATAAACAGTGGCAATAGCAAAATAGATAGGGATAACACAGCAGCAGATACAGTCAAAGAACTGTGGGGAGAGGATATTATGTCAGTCAGGTTATGGCATTATGGTTTCAGGTGACCAGTTTTCTTCACTGCTTTTTATCTTTCCACATTCCCATGTGGATTCCGGGACCCTCTTTTGAGGAGAAAAGAATACACCTACTGCCACCCTAACAAGCAAGTTGTAAAAGTTGACTAAGTGGACAGTTCCTTCGAAGTCGGGGTGCATCTGCCTAAGAGGTGAGGAATCAACAGTCTATAAATAATAAACAGTCGACAGATCTATGCATGCAAAACTCAAGTTTTGGAGCAAGACTAAAGTCCAGAAGTGGACGAACAACCAGAACTTTCCACTGGAGTTCACAGCCGGAGATTGGCTTTTTTGTTTTGTTTTTATTTTTAGAAATATAGCTGACATATCTTTTCTGCTAAACCTGTAATAAGAATGTTACAATTCTTATTTTTTTCTTCTTCAGTTTTTAGAAGAATGTATCAAATGTATGCACCTCTCTAATTCACTTTGGCATGTACTTGTGTCATGCTGACCAGCTCTAGACCGATGTTCTTCAACCTGGCTTGGCCAAAGTCAGACCAAAAATAGCAGATATCATCAAAACAGTGACGACAATCATATTGATGTTTGCACACTAAATTACCAGCTGTTGATTGTTTCTTTTGTTATTTAACACTATGAATTCTATGAAGTTCTTATTCACCTTTTTTGCCAACCTCTCATTAATTACATTGTGTTACCCTGGCAAGGGAGAGGGGCGGGGCATAGGCCTATACTCAAGAAGGTGCCACCTGAAAAACGTTGGAGACCACTGCTCTATACAGATTCTATGTGAGCCCTACCAATGGTTAGATAGTCTTTCTTAACAACATAGCCACTGCAGAAATTCTACTTTCTATTCTTTATTATCTCACCACTGTTGAACTAAGAGAGTATGTGATATCACTTCCTGGAAACATTCTCATCGCTAAGATGAAATCTGAACTCTGAGCTTCAGACTTTGAAGTGGACACAATGAGCTCTCATATATGCCCCCCAACCCCACCTCTCAGTGTGGGTGTTATGTAAAAAAAAATATAAACAAAACGTTATGTTAAAGTCCAGAGGGCCGACCTCACTGCACTGGATTTGATCCCATATGGCTCGTTATCTCTCTGCTGAACGGCTAGCCGGCTGTGGAAAGTGTTGCACAAAGCATGAAACTGTAGCTCTGGTGATGATCCCCAGTAGTATAAGTAAAAACTGCCCTTGTGAATCAAATGAAGAGCTGTGAAATGAACCCATGACCTCAAGAGTACAAGGTTAACAGCTTTATCACTTCGTCATAGAGACCCCCCCCCCCCCCCCCCTCTTATATAAAGTAAAAAGTAAAGATCCCTTTAAAAACAAGGCGCATCGGGCATATGGGAAGAGCACCCATATTTTTACAGACCAATCGGCACTCGGTGGGTAATGTGGTCAGCATTACGCCGGCCGTCTTTACTTTCCCAGGACAGCCCATCCTGGTACCCATTTGAGGCTGGGTCGACCTGCGAAGTCCCATATCATGATAATAATCCACACAGCCCACGCAGGTTTCGATCGCAGTACGTTGGATTACGAGTCAGACTCGCAACGCCCTAGCCACGGACGCCGCCCCCCCTTATATAGTCTTAGTATTATCAATGTTTACTTCCCTTAGGGGCAACAGAGATACAGGTGCATTCATTTAAATTCAGAGTGATAAAATCCAACATAAGTCCTTCAATATTACATGCTGCTTACCCGAGTGCGTACGGGGCCCCAGTTTGGGCAAGGAGGGAGAGAGAAAAGACCCACCTCCTCCCCCCTCCCTACAACAAAAATGTCATACAATAAGGGTTGCTTCCTTCAAAGTCTGAGTGGATCTGCCTAGAGGCAAGGAAGAAACAGCTACATACAAATAACTCAGATCTGTAACATGAATGCACAGAAAAAAATACTGTAAGTTCTGCAACAAGACCAGAGTCAAGACCAACAACCAGAACTTTCCACCAGAGTTTACAGCAGGTGAACACTAACAAGTAGGACATGGTGCCAAAAGTAATTGATGAATCGATTTATAAAGTAAGCAATGAAAAAAAAGAGGCAGGTGTGTGACACAGAATAGGTTAAAGCTTATTTACCTGCGACTGTTCCTCTGGGTCCGCCGGGCTGAAGCACTGGGAATGGGTGAACCATGGTCATAAGAATCTTCCTGACAGCCACCAATTCTAAACCGGGCCAGTCTAACCTCCTCCGGCTCGTCAGGCTGAGACACTGCTCTCCCATATCTAACTTCAGGTCGAAGAGTTGACGACATTTTGGAAACAGACTTTTTCTCACTCCTGACACCTCCTTGAGGTGTACTAACAGTAACAGTGTCAGGCGCTGACAAACTGTCATTCATTATCCCTGGCTTGTCTTTTTCATAAGCTGAGGAATTTCTCACTGGCTCAACCAAGGCAGGCCTAGACATGATGTCTGTACCATGTAATCAAGTCTTATCTTTTCACAAAAGCGTGAGACTAGTGTGAAAACCTGTTTGAATTTCTCATCCAGCTTCTTGTTTAAAGTGATAACTGTCCTGTTTTCATCACCTGGATTCAGTCAAATCTGTTCCTAATCAGTTTTTGAACCTGAGACCAAGGACTTAACACTGACCAAGACTTCTTCAGCAGCAACAGAAAATTGCTTTTGATGATTTCTGAAATAGACAATGAGAAACTATCAAAGCTTAGACACAATTCTAAGGCCTTGTTTGTGTTACACCTGTGTTGTTTGAAGCAGCTTTAGCATTATTTTTCCATTTTTATCTTGGTTTTACTATGACTCTATATACACAATTTGAGTGGTTGTATCCTCTTATAACCCGCTATTCAGATATAATTTCTATGCTCTCATTTAAATCAAATTATTCTTTGCGTGGGTTCCAGGGTCCCAATGGTAGAAAATGGTGGGTTGGGAGGGGTGGAGGGATAGACCCACTGACCCCTTACCATCATGTTACAAACATTCAACTAATTGGGGCTGTTTCTTTTGAAGTAAAAGTGTATCTACCTGTCGAGGCCAGGAACCAACAGTCTGCACACAAACAGGCCAGACCTGTCAAATGGATGTGCATGCAAAACTTCAGTTCTGAAACAAGACTAAAGTCCAGAATTGGATGAACATCTTTCTGCCAGAATTTACAGCAGGTGAAAGCAATGAAGAATTACAATTTTGTCCCCCACCGTCTGCCACAAACCAGTGGGCTGAGGTCCTGATGAGCAACAGTGAACATAAAGCTCCACAGATTAGGCTGCTGTCATCCTTGTGAGGTGTAGTACAGCTCATGTGTGAAGAATTGCTTTCCTGCTTCTTGGCTGAGACCCACATAAATCATTGTTATAAACTCACTGAGCACCCTCCCCTCCCCACCCCAACCAACCACACATACACAGAGATAAAGAGAGAGAGAGAGAGAGAGAGAGAGAGAGAGAGAGAGAGAGAGAGAGAGAGAGAGAGAGAGAGAGAGAGAGAGAGAGAGAGAGAGAGAGAGGAGAGAGCTATTAGAGATATGCCGAAAGAATTTTCACATTAGTTTCCGTATTTCCCCAGGTATAAGATAATCCCATTTATAAGATGCACCTTGATTTTGAGACCAGAAATTTAGAAAAAAAAATATGATAACATAAAGGTCTACAACTGTATCAGAGGCACACTGTTTTTAGACCCTATAATTTTTATTTGTTATTTTAAATAAGTGCGTCAGAGGAAATATAGTAATTCTGCAGCAAATATAAGTTAAATGTACTATCATCTTCACTGTCCCAGTTTTGAAGGCAGCTCATCAGATCCAGTAATATATATCATTCTAGCTTAGATGATTATAAAATGGTTTGCTTTTTCTACTCGGATACCATCCAAGGTAACCGACTCTCTATAAATATAAGCAGGTCTCCCAAGAATATTCTGCAGGGAAAACAACTGCCATGCTGACACTTTGCAATTTAGATACAACCGCTGTGAAATCTATAGTCTGAGCAGCTTGCACATGGGACCCAATAAGGCCTGATTCTGAATTAATCAAGAACTGGCATCACTGCACTCGGGACATTCCCACGTGTGCTCTGTCCCCTTCTTCAGTATCCAATTAAAAGTCGACATGCTAAAAGTACCAGTTGCAACTTGATTAAAATCCACCTGTTTCCCCTTCAGTGTTGAATGTCTGCCAGAACCATTACTCACCCACTGTTGAGTTAGTCTTTTAATGTATGGATTCTCTGTCTGTTCTATTGCCTTCACCACGTCCGCTTTATCATAAAGTAGACCCCCCCCCCCCCCCCCCCCCGCCCCAAGGAGCAGCAGCAGCTAGTCTATCAGCCTGCTTGTTACCTTGCATACGTGAATTTCCTGGACAAAAAAATCTATGATATTCTCCTCTTGATATGAGTCTTATCAAGCGATACTTGATGTTTCCATGAAAGATCAAAATAAAATGCCTACCCAAGATATTATGAAAAGGTGATGTCAGATTTCAGAAACCTCCTGTTTTTTACCTGTACTCAAGAAAGCTAGCCGACAAATCACAGTACCTAGGATATTATAAGCTCAGGGAGAGGGGTACGCGTGTGAGTGTGCATGTGTATGTGTCATATACTTACTAAATCCATTATTTTTTTTAAAAGAGGGCGGGGGATGCCAGCCTCATCTATAGGGAAAATCGATATGGCCGATCGTCTTCTCAATCTCATTGAGACTAGGTCTTAGCAAGTACTTGTATTGAAGGATGTACCAAGTTATTTTATACTATACAAATCTATACACACCAGACTTAAATGCTTCACTCTGTTCATGTTTACTTATTACTTTCTCCCTCTCTCTATCTCTCTCTCTGTGTTTGTGTGTGCGTGTGTGTGTGCACGCAAAAAAATGTGCGTCTAATCAGGACATATTCAAAGTTGGACTTATTAGAAAGCAAACATTAACTGTGTGTGTGTATCTATATGTATGTGTGTGTGTGTATGTATATAAAAAAAATAATTTTTTATTTTTTTTTATTTTTCAGGCACCTGTAAAATTATTATTTTTTTAAATAATATTTTGGACATTCCCACGGGTTCCTGACCTAATACTGTAGTGTTCTGAGGGTGAAAGGGTTAACTCTTTGAGTCCCAAGGAAGGCATCACGCGCTAATCAGTTACCACCCAGCCGCCTAATCTGTGTGTGATGTGTTCACGTTTTTAATTGGCCACTGGTCAGTATAACAACCCAACCTGGCAGTTTTTAATGTTGTTTCCAGTTCTTAGTGTTCGAAGTCACAAGTGGTGACCATTTGCGATATTCAAAAACGTAGTAGAAAGCATAAAATGTAGTATGCTTGTTAGCTTTACCAGTTACTAAATGTCTGTGTGAAAACAATATGGCCTCCGATAGACTTCTTCATGCATACAAACATGATTTATAACTTCAGAAGCCTTATATTTGAAAAAAAAAAACATGTCTGTCAGAGTTATCCGAAGCTAGATAAAGAAAGTTACAAACCAAGTAGACTTGTTTCAGTCACTGATAGAGTCAAACTTTGATGAGAGATAGCTATGATATATAAAATAAATGTTAGTGAAAAAAGCATCAGTTAGGCCTAGTGCAATTCCCTTATTATTTGGGTACAAAGACTATAAAACTAGGGGCAGACTCAGTGTTATATTAAGTTAATTTTTGTGAAATGACTAATTGTTTTCAGAGGTCATTTTTCTTTACAAAAACAAAAGTGCTCTGTTATGATGCTCTAAAAGTTTCTCTGGAAGGAGATATAATGGGCAGCTTGTGTTTTTATTTTATCTATATATTATTAAGTGGTTCACGTTCTTTGTGATTCATTTTGGATAAACTTTATCGAGTTCTCATTGAGTGCCATAGAGGTAAGTGGAAAAATTATAATTTCTTTTTACTAATTTCTTGATACATACCATCTGTTTATTTACTAATAATTAACTACTAACACAATTTATTTCCTTTTTTTTTTGGAGATTTGGCTGCCGGAATGCTTTGAACACTGGGATCTCAAGCGGGAAACCTGGTTTTGAATCCTCAGTAAGGCTGAGGATTTTTTCTTTCAGGGGACAAATAAAATCCTCACCTGCACAGTTGTGGCGACAGCACTAGCCATGCAGCAGTAAATCCTCAGGCTTATGCCGCAAAAGTGGTAAAATGAAGGCAGTAATTGGCAGTTTGGCAACAATTTTTTTTAGTAGTATTCTAATATTATTCCTTGACAATCCCTGGTCACTTTGGTGTACAATATGTGTATTTTGTGTAGCAGTTAAGTTAGCATGGTCTAATTTAATGTGAAACACTTGTGAAATTTCAAAATCGCATTACCTCCCCTTGGGATGCTTAACCCCCCTCCCCGGGACTCAAATAGTTAATGTCCTTTCATTTTAACATTAGGAAGTTTCACAATCAAAATCACTACAACCCCAGTCATCATCATCATCATCCCATAACACTATGTGTCGTTGGGTCACCAGTTTCTGTTAACTGTCTGATCAGCTCTCTCCACCTTTGGTGGTCAGTTGCAATGGACTTTATGATTGCATGTATAAGGCCTGTCTAGTCAGGTTCTGTAACCAGGTCTTTCTTGGTCTGCCTCTTCTTCTCTTTCCCTCTACTGAGCCCTGCAGTATTGTTTTTGAGAGGCTGTTAGATCGTATTACATTTCCCTTCTATTGCATTTTTCGCCTTTTCACTGTAGTTAAAATAGGTTTTTAGTTTCCAATGTGATGTATAATATTATGGTGAACCTCTTCGTTTGTAACGTAGTCTCTGTATGATATGCCAACAAGTTTTCTGAAATATTGCATTTCGGCTCTCCTTGCAATAACAGTCACTAGTTGAACAGCGACGGCCGCTTAGTCGGATTTCAGTCCCCTGGCTGCAGTGCAATTACGGAGTGGAAAAGAGGGAACGACACAAATGACATAATTAGGGCTAGGGGTAGGGTTAGGGGTAGGGTTTGGGTTAGGCTAATGTGAGTCGCAGTGCGTGGTCTAGACGCCATGTTGAACTCACTGTGTTTTGTGATTCGTGCCTTGTCCACTCTGTAATTGCACTGCAGCCAGGGGACTGAACTCCGACTAAGCGGCCGTCGCCGTCCAAGTAGCGACCATTATTGCAAGGAGAACCTGCATTTCTAATACTTGTAATCTTTCTTTCAAGTTCAGCTTCTAAGGTCCACAACCCCAGTCAGTCTCAGTAAATATTCAGCAATACTAAACATTGTTGAACACCTGTTAAGATTTGTAAATCTACTCCTATATTATTATTATTGGTGACAGTGCCACAGTATTACATATCACTACATCTAACCAAACTGTGAATGTAGCCATTATGCTAAATTTATATAATTATTTCAAACTATAGTTAAC